TTAGCGCTTTAAAATGGCAATGAATCACTTCCTGAAATAATTTGTATTGGCTAAATTAATTCCAGTGAAGGGAGCCAATTTGCTGATTGTAAATTATCAGAGTCCCTGACTAGCTCCTGTGTATGTTGTGTACCATTTATTAGGCTACTAGGAAACAAAGGATGGCTACTTTTCATCAGTGAACAAGATTACAGCCCTATTAAGTGACCAGCTTATTGTGGTACAATTATGGGTTTCTATTTAAAGAATTCAAGCCAGACATCATTAAGAAACAAAGCTGAATGTTCAGAGGAAAGGAAAAATAAATGGAAGGAAAGCTCGTTTTCTGAAAAGATGCACCAAAAACCTATTTGAAGGCAGTATTTCCATCCTCTTAGATTAAGAAGGAGAAGTTCAGAGATGCAAGGCTAATTATGAAGATACTTCCATCATATGATAGTGCCTAGAGGCAACCTGAAGTCCAGAGTCCCAGAGCCTGCTCCTCTCACTCGTGGCTAGATTATTGTTTCGAGACTCCCCTAAATTAAAACGACTTTTGAAGAGCAACAACGAGGTGAGAAAACACACACACAGGTTTCTGCTCTCCCTTATCAGACAGAGAAGATGCTTTCATAGCACTGCCACGCCAGCACTCTCAGAGCCTTCCTCCCAAGCGCCAGGAGACCTCTGCATCCACCCAGCAAGTACCACCACCCACCCGCTCACTGCAGTGAGATGACTTGGTTAAGGTCTGCAGCACTGTTGTCAATAGATTTCCCTTCTTTACCCCTCTAAAAGAAAAGAAAAATGTACATAAAGCTTTACCTAAGCTAATTTGCATGGCATTCTCCTGCTCTTATCTGCATCTCCTCAGTGGTATCAAAGCCTCGACATTTCTGCTTGAGAAATCTTTCCCTGGCTAACCTGCTTATCAGCAGTAATGAATACTCATGCAAACAGGTACAAAATTAAATGGCTTCTTTACAGTGATTATGATAGATTGAGCCATGCTTAATCTACATAATCAAATTGCTTCTGTGTTCAGTGGTAATACCTTTTTGCTGTCCTGGGAGCAGGTTCAGCCTTGGTTTCTCTTTTGACAGCTTCTTTCTGAGAACACTAACTGTGACTGGGAAAGGGGCTACTTGAGATGCAATTATTTAACACAGCTGTATGAGGCACATCTTGAACTCTGCAATATGGTAAAGCAGGTCCGAATGAAAGGTGTCCCCTCTAGGGAAGGGGAAAACATCACGTAGGACACAAGGGAAAATGAAGTACAAACCAATCTCTTCCAGCTACTATCCACAAAACCAGAGTGACCCTCCCAAGATAAATTGAACATCTCTACTCACCTTGCTGCAGTGAGTTACTACCACTACTATAATTTCCTTTCCCTTTACAAGAGCATCCCTATATGCAAGGGCATTGTCTGCTTAGATGCTGATGAAATAGAAGAATATTTTCCAATCTCAAGACCAGATTCATGTTTCAAATTGAGTTGGCTAAATCTTGCCAAGGTGTCAGAAACAAAGGATGGCACAGGTATATCATATAATCCTTGGTTTGGGCAATAAAAGGATCTGGGTCGGCGAAGGTTCTGAAATGCATCTGTGTGTCTAACTCATGTTTATCAGGTCATTTAGGCCAAAAGTGTCCTGAAGCTTTCTCTACTGCAAAAGATTGATCAATTTTTAGAATAAAATGAGAAGTGAGAAATGGTTTTCCCCACAAACTATAAATAAGTTCTATTTAAAAAATATCAAACAGACTATTTACCTTTGTCCAAAAAACAGCACCAAAAGAAGCAGAGCAAAGGTTTGCTTCCTGATATACCTGCTGAGAAGTTTTTTGTTTGCTTGGGTTTTTTTTCCAAAGAGTCTAAAGAAACTACTAGCCTTCAAGCTAGTGCTTATTTCTAAACATCACCCAATAGCTGTAAAGTGAGTAAGCCTGATGCAAAATGCTATTAAGCACTTATGGAGAACAATTTCTCTCCCTTGTTATTACTTTGATACACATGGAAAGAAGGTGCCGGCTGGACCTCTGTGGTTGGAAAGCTGACAGCTCTAGCAAAAAGGTCCCTGCATCTTTGTAAGTGAAGGAAAACCAATGCAGAGGAAAAAACCATTGGGTTCTGGCAAGGCTGGCAAGCTGCTGGCACAGCTTGACTTTGGCTCAGGAGGAAGTAAAAGCTTGAATTACATAAAAATAGATTTAAGAAAGAATCAATGACATTTCATCTGAAAGTTTTAGTTAAGTTTTAATTAGGATCCGAGATTTTGCACTTAAGTGCATGAAGTGAAGGAGTACATGTACTCATGCTTCCCAAGATAACTGACAGATCTGAAACTTACTCATCTCATCTTGAAAGGTTAATTAAAGAACAATCCTTGAGAGCAACACTGTAGGGAAGCCAAGAAGA